CCTAAACCCTAAACCCTAAGCCTCGTAGTTTGGCGCGACAGGTCCCAGCCTCCTCGGAGCGACCGCGCTACGACCCTCGCGGTTTGGCTGGGACTGGATGATCCTGGATTTAGGGTTTTGAGGTTTTAATGGTTTTGGGGGTCTAGGGTTTTTAGGGGTTTTAGGGTTTAAGGGATTTAGGGTTTAGGGCCAGGGTGTTTAGGGTGTTTCGGGTTTTTAGGGTTTTTAAGGCTTTTAGGGTTTCAGGGTTTTTAGGGTTCGTAAGTTTTTTTTTGGTTTAGTTGCGGCTTTTAGGGTTTATAGGGTTTTTTGGGTGTTTTAGGGCTTAGGGTCTACAGTCGGAGGTCTTTGCTTGGGATTTCAGTGGAGGCTTTAGGGCGTGTTTAGGGTTTAGGGTTTAGGGTTTAGGGCGTCGGGATTCGGGTCAAGGGTTCTGAGTTTCGGGCTTGGTGCTGTGATTGAGAGCTTGGGGTTTAGGTAAAGAAAACTACAGGTGGGGAGTTTAGGGTATATGCGGCTTCTATAAGGCTTCTATAAGGTATCTAGACCTTCTATAAGGCTCCTATAACGGTAAGTACGCACCTGAAAATGTGCTAGATTTAGGGTTTCGAGTTCAGTGACTGAGAGTCAGGGCAGGGGCTTGCTTTATCCTTCCAGCTCGAGGGCTACAGCTTTTCCTGTGAGATCCCCCAGTCATGCTTGCATACCAAACCTCACTGCGCATCTACAGGTATCTAGGGCCCCTAGGTGAGGGTAGAGAGTTTCACTAGAGACTGTCGCCATCACCATGATCATGATCATCATCAGCAGCAGCAGCACCATCACCACGAGCACCAACATCAGCATCACCATACGATCACAACAAACTAATGCGCAGGGTCGTCCACGGAGTTGTGCTAGGAATTCCTCTGCTTTAAGGGGTTTTGAGAGGACAAGAAAGCGACCCTAAACCCAAAACCCGAAACTGAGGCTCTGCAAAGAACGACGAAACCCTAAAGTTCTCAACAGCACATCCGCCTCAGGCAAATACTACGAGTCAGAACCGGCGCAGGATCTATCGGCTCCATATGAAGAGGACGGCCCCCATGCAACTCCACGAAGCACGGACCCCCCAAAGAAAGCCCCTAAAACCCGACATTATCTCCATGAAGCCCATAAAACCGTCTTATGAGCCTGAAGCAGATACTATAGGGGACTTAGCACTTACCTATACTGTTTTGGGGGTTCCTTCTTGTGAGTATAGTATAATGGGCAGCAAAACCCTATTCTAATTATTAAGGCTCCTACATTAGACCCGGTACCTGAAGACTTCAGTAGGAGCCGGAGAGCACCCAGCTGGCAGATTGGCTGAAGAGGTGCCCCTCGGGATAGTGCATTTGTTCTTGAAGGGGGGGGGGATAACGGTATGATATACGATATACATAAACAGTGCCTACATGGGGTATGCAACCCCTAAACCCTAAACCCTAAGCCCTAAATACTACGACCAGGCAATCAGGCCGCTCTAGTAGCCAAAAGCCGGCTCAAGCCCGACTCTTCCTTCTCTCCGTAGCACAAGCGCTGCGGTTCTTTGGGGCTTACCTGGACCCCAAATAACCAACCTTTTAGGGTCCCTTATTATGATTATAAGTCCTTAAAAAGGTAGGTTCTTTGGGGCTTACCTGGACCCCAAATAACCTACCTTTTAGGGTTCCTTATTATGATTATAAGTCCTTAAAAAGGTAGGTTCTTTGGGGCTTACCTGGACCCCAAATAACCTACCTTTTAGGGTCCCTTATTATGATTATAAGTCCTTAAAAAGGTAGGTTCTTTGGGGCTTACCTGGACCCCAAATAACCTACCTTTTTAGGGTTCCTTATTATGATTATAAGTCCTTAAAAAGGTAGGTTCTTTGGGGCTTACCTGGACCCCAAATAACCTACCTTTTTTAGGGTTGCTGATTATGATTATAAGTCCTTAAAAAGGTAGGTTCTTTGGGGCTTACCTGGACCCCAAATAACCTACCTTTTTTAGGGTTCCTGATTAAGATTTCTTTATATAAGTCCGTAACAAGGTATGTTCTTTGGGGCTTACGGCTTCGGGGTCAGAGGGTAGGGGTGCCTCTTGGAAAGTCTCACTCCGTGGTGCACACAGCTTTTTTTTATCAAGATGTGCTCACAAGAGGGCTCAAGAGGTTTAGGGTGTAGAGGGTTTGGTTTAGGGTTTAGGGCCGAGTCCCTGTGAGTTTATGTCCCAACATGCGACGAAACTCCAATTTGTGCATATACAAACAAGAGACGTGCATGCTGGTACTGTTGATGGACAGAACCCGGCATGACCTCAGATATCCTAATGATGGGAATTATGGTACTGATACTTTGCTTGGGTCATGCAGGATTTTGTCCATCAGCAACCCTAATCCCTAATCCCTAAACCCCAAAACCCTAAACCCTAAACCGTATGAAATGGTTTAGGACTCCGAGCTGTCGTGGTCGTGGGCTTTCAGTGTAGGGGTCGAAGGGTTCAGGGGCTCAGGGTTTTTGCGGGTCTAGGGCTTAATTTACGCCTTAACACTCCCTCAACTCCCTAACCCCTCAACCCCTAAACTTTCGGGTTTAGGAGTTCAGGGGCCCTGAACCCTAAACCCTAAACCCTAAACCCTAAACCCCTGAACTCTGTTTAAGGAAAAGAGACGGTTCACTTTTAGCCTCACGAGGACACAGCCTTGACGGATCCGGGATCAAAAAGCCTAAGTCCCGAGGCTTTAAGCAAGGTCTTAGGGTTTGGGGTTTACGGTTTCGGGTTTGGGGTTTAGGGTTTAGGGTTTAGGGCTTGCGGTTTAGAGTTTGGTATTTAGAGTTCGCGGTTTAGAGTTTGGGGGTTTAAGGCTTAGGCTTTAGGGTCTAAGGTTAGTTTAGGGTTTAGGTTCCTGATGACAAGGTGCGCAGACAAAGTTCGGCAGCGCCAGGAGCTTCGGCAGGGGAGGACTCCAGAACACAGCCCGGTTTAGGGTTTAGGGTTTAGGGTTTAGGGTTCAGGGTTTAGGGTTTAGGGTTTAGGATTTAGGGTTTAGGGATGTGTTTGATTTGTATTCGTGGTTTAATGTAAGGGCCTTAATGATTAGAATAGGGTTTGGGCGTATTTTATACTATAACTCTCATCCAGAACCCAAAAACAGTACTGGTAGTTATTTAGGCCCCTACATTACGGCTTTTGGGGTTTTAGGACGTTGGGACTATTTTCGGGCCTTTGATTTTAGAGTCTTTCGAGGGCTTAGGGTTGAGGCTTTAGGGTTTAGGGTTTAAGGTTTAGGGTTTAGAGGATGTAGGGCATGAGGAGATCAGGTTCAGGGCTTCGGGTTTGCAGTATTGGGTATGGGGTATGGGGGGCAGGCGTCATTTTGGGTGGAAGCGGCCAGGGCTACATGGCTTCTTCGGGTCTTCCGAAGAGTTGAACTCCGCCTGTTCCAAACCCTGAACCCTAAACCCTGAACCCTAAACGCTAAACCCTAAACCCCCCCTCGAAGCTCTAGATTTTGATGGCCGGTCTTGTGACCATCGGGCTGTGTCTCTGTGCAATGCAGCCAGTAGGTCCGGTCAATGAATGAAGCTGCCGTTTGCACTGGACAGCAAACTGGAAGCGATTTCAGAAGGTGGCTTAGCACACTGTCACCTCTGTCGTGGAGCAGCATTGTTGGAAACATCCGCAGTTGGATGGTTCTGCTGATCGCCTCGGGCACACACGGAGCAATTTTCCATTCTTCACATATCACTGCTGCCCACACAGTAGTTTTGCTCCTTCGGATGGTGTTTGTTGTCAGAAATTTCAGGACAACCTTCAATACGATAGGGGCTTGAATAGTTACCTACTCTACTATTTTTGGGGGGCTCCTTATTGCTACTTATAGTATAATATACCCCAAAGCCTATTCTGATTATTAAGGCCTCTACATTACACATGGGAACACCGGAGCTATGGGTTCAGTTGTCACACAGACAGCTAGATCAGAGCATCCCTGCTGAAATTGATGCCGACACCTTCGGGCTTTTGGCACTGAGGGTTTGACAGGCTTCACAACACAATCGACGCCGGCAGGGATTCCGGTCTACGGTCCGATTTTGAAGTTGCAGAGATTGAGGATGCTGTAGATATTCGATTAAAGTATACAAATATACAGTATGTTATGTCAACATACTTTCTATATAGTATGATATAGTCAGTATATAGTAGGTTTCGACGCGTATGTGGAGTGGTTTCGATGCAGACCCTACCAGCATGCTGCTCTCGAGACTATGCATGCGGGTTCGAGGCCACACTCAAATAGGGGTTTCTGAAATCTAAACGTCTAAACCCTAGTCCCGAGACCCGGAACTCCAAAACCGTACAAACCCCTCCAAAACCCAAAATCCGAAGTTCTAGACCCCGAAACCCGAAACACCACCTCGAGGTCAGAAGCCCCGCAGTTGCAAACGACCCGAACTCTGGCCAGAACTTCAGAAACCCTGAAACTGAGTGCGGTCGATGGCGCGATCTTGGGGTGCGCAGAAAAGGAGCTACCGGGCCTCTTTAAGGGCCTCCCTACAGCCACGATCCACATATGATGGTGGTCAATCGTCATGCCGGGCGTGCCAATACATCACCACAAGGAGGGCCTTCTATTTTAGTGCCTTATGTATAGTAACTTGAAGACCCTTTATAGTACCTCAATGTACCTATAAAGCCCATGTAGTAGCTTATACTACCTCGTATATCCCTTATGGTACCTTCTAGCAACCGTCTAGAAACCAATAAAACCTATACTACGTTGTGCAATCCTTATAGCACCGCCCTAGTCCCTAAACCCTAAACCGTACCTCCTGCAGACTCCAAAGGGTTCGTTCGCGTCCGACTCAGAACCTCCCAGTCCTCCCTCCCAAGTCGAGGTGCCTTCTGCTTTTGGTAAAACCCCAAACCCAAAAACCCTAAACCCAAAGCCCTACATAGGGTTTAGGGTTTAGGGTTTAGGGGTTTAGGGTTTAGGGTTTAGGGTTTAGGGTTTAGGGTTTAGGGAGCTCTGCTTCGGCTTCAACGCCGCAACAACAACTACAACAACACGAAGAGACACAAAACCCCGCATTGCCACGAGCCTTCAAGAATGCCCGCTGGCAACCAGCAACATCATCATCGTTATCATCATCCTCATTCTCATCCTTATCTCCATCCTCATCCTCGTCCTTTTTCTCATCTTCATCCTCCTCCTCCTCATCATCACCGTCAACATCAGCATGAGCATAATCATGACTAGGATCATCACCATCGCCAGGCATGGCCATCATCAGCTTCCTCTCGGCCATCGCAACCATCATGTCAAAGATCCTCATGATTACCACGTGCCGCGGCAACAATATCGACAACGACTACGAAAACACCAACGACGGCGACGACCACAACAACGGCTACGGCCGCCACCAGCACCACCGCCGCCGCCGCCTCCACCGCCACACCGCGGCCGCCACCACCACCACGACAACAACAACACCACCACCAACAACAACAACAACAGCAGCAACGACAACCACAACCACAAGAACTGTGGCAACTTCAACAATCGCAGCAGCAGCACTAGCATCAGTAGTAGCAGCAGCAGCAGCAGCAGCAGCAGCAGTAATAATAATAATAATAATGTTGTCGTCATTGCCATCACAGGCACGGTGCTCACGATGAGGACAGGAACGAGAACTGTACTCAAAGGAACCTTTAAAGGAGCCCTATTCTAATTACTAAGGCCCCTACATTCATCAGCCCGGATCTGTGCCGTCTTTTGCTCGGAAGCGCTTGTTGTGTGTCCATCTCATCCGTCATTGATGCAGGCCTGGTTTAGTTTTTAGGGTTTAGGTGTTGGAGTTTTAGGCTTGAGGGGTTTGGTTCTTCACGGGGTCTTTCTATTGAGGGCATGCTTGTGCAATTATCGAATTCTGTACCACAAAGCCTCCGCTCCATCAAGCATCTGGCCCTCGGTAGGGTTGTGGCTGTAGCTTATGTTGCTTAGGGTACCCATGGACGGTCGGTTTTGTAGTGTGGGACTCTATCGCGTTGTGTTGGTTTCCAGGCCAGTGATTCCTCGAGACGACGCTCCAAAGCAAAAGGAACACTGAGGTGCTCCTGTTATGACACCCCCGGCTCATACTCGACATCCTCCCCGTAGACTTCGTAGACAGTGTCACAAAGTCTTCAGCATCACCATCGGCAGTGTCATCTTCATGTTCGGGGTCAGAGTCGCAAGCTCTCTTCAGAACAATCAGGAATTTTCCGCAGTTGTTAAGTAACATAGGGGCCTAAATGTTTTGAATAGGGTTCTATTTATAGTATGCCTATAGTAAGGAACCCCCCAAAAGAGAATAGATAGATAATTATTGAGGCCCCTATGTTACGGATTTCGGCGTTCAGGATTGTGGATTCCTGGCTTGAGGGTCTGGGCTGCGGAAGCCTCAAGACCCGGTTTAGGGTTCAGGGTTTAGGGTTTAGGGGTTTAGGGTTTAGGGTTTAGCGCCCAGATGCTAAACAAAATGGAGGTTGCTGCGATCTTTTCCGTGGCTCTCGTTCACCTTGTTTTGGACCTACAGCAACTGCATGATTAGTGTACAATGGTAGAGGGTCCAGTGGTTTACTACAGGAGCCTGACTTTAGGGCCTGAAACTGAAGCTTCACCTCGGCAGGGGCACTGCTCTGCAGGTCCTGCGATGTGGAGGTTATTCCTGCTCCTAGCTGGCAACTTGCTCGTGGCAGGTGCCCTGTTTGCTTTTCATGAGGGGTGCTACGCAAATGAGGAACTATAAGGCTCTAGAAGTGCTTTTATGATAGACAAGAAGAATAATGGTAATCATAGTTTCTAGCATTAGGAAGGAGACGGGTAATTGTATCTAGAAATAGTAATGATAACACCTCGTTGCGCCAGGAATTTAGAACCGTTATTTCGTCGAGCCATCTTGGTAATCTTGGTCAAGAGGCAAGATTACCAGCAATCTTGGTCATCCCGCAATCTTGGTCGTCTTGGTCATCTTGCCCACTTGCCCCACATGCTGGCCGACTAGTTTACCTTTTAGGCCAAGATTGACCAAGCTTGCTGGCAATTTTGCTCCCCCCCAACTGGGGCAAGTGCGGCAAGATGGCAAGATGGCTTGGCAAACTTGCTCAAACAATTGTCCTGAATTCCCGGCACAATGTAACAGTAGTAACAGGAATACTATTCTCCTGAAAGCTTAGAGCCCCATGGAAGGGGACACATTTTTATGGGATCACCTGCCTTCTAGCCTCGTTGTGAGGGGGTGATGTCTGGTTCATTCGCGCCTTACGCATTTTACTCTAAGTCGTGGAAGGGAATGCACGAATCCCTCTCGTGCCCTAAGCGTTTCACAGCCTTAAAGCCTAAACCCTACACCCCTAACCTTCTTACCCCCAAGCCCAAGGCCTACACCCTAAACCCCACGCCCCCTCAACCCTTTCCCGACCCGACCTAGCACTCTGGGACTCCTTGCACATTCATAATTTAGGGTGTATTTTACCCTAAACCCTAAACCCTAAACCCTAAACCCTAGCGTATAATGTTCTCCCAAAGGGACCTTAAGGGCTTTATGGGCTACTAGAAGAGTTCTATGAGGCGCAACAAGCAGTCTATGAGGTGTCACAAGGGTTCTGTAAGGTAGTTGCTACAAGTTGTTAAACTACTATAACCCTACTGTAAGGCTCATTTTAGCCCGAAAGCCTTGTATAGCATGGTCTATCACTACGCCCAAAACTTCACATCCTAACTGCTTCGCTCCACAACCCCATCCATTCAACGCGAAACCCTAACTGCTGAACCCTCCATCCTAAACCCGATACACTGAACCCCTAAACCCTAAATCCGTAAACCCCTAGGCCCTAAACCCTAAACCCCTAAACCCTAAACCCCTAAACCCTAAACCCCTAAACCCTAAACCCCAAAGCCCTAAACCCTAAACCCAGCCATTCAGCCCGAAAGATCTGGTTTCC